TTTTCATCGATGACAGATCAATTTTATCCGAAAACTTGAAGTGTAAAATGGTTTTAAACAATTAATTGTAGACTAGATTGTGATTGTAAAGAGAAATTAATAAAATATGTACATATCTTCTGTGTTTTTATTTCAATGAAGTCATTTCTTTCATAACAGTATTTATCACTGGGGTGAAGCAAGATTGTTTTGCCTGGCTTATTTGTTTAATTTTTCGTGTCTACGCGAAAGCTTATAATTTTTACAGTAATTTTTGTCAAATTTTATTGCTTTATGTTAATATAGGATGATAATCTTTTTTTCACCTGTATGAGGCCTTGGATATCAACAATATGACTGTTTGAATCTATCCATACTCCATTAATTATCGTGGCTAGTACTAACCTACAGCATCTATCCCTATTTCTTAATCAAGCTGTGAAGCCTGCCTGTAATAAATAATACGGCTGGTACCTTGTACAGTATTGGCAAATCGATTTGATTCTTGAGTTTTTATCGGGATAATGAACACTGGATCAAAGTAATTCCTTCAATATTACTAAAAAAAAGGATGAGGACAAACAAAAGATATAATTCTTAGTGTATATATTCAGATGCGAGAACAGAATTCATCTTTTGTCAGTGGTAGATGCACCATAGCAGACTTCAGCCCTGGCCGGTGTCCGGTCGATGCTTTCATTGGATTGGATTAAATCAAATATATACGGCAATGAGTCACATTGGCGATCTGCCGAGGGGGGTTACCTCTCTGGAGGTATTCTATGGGAAAATGGCCTTAGTTAGATGTTAGAAAAGTAAAGAAAACACGAAAAATTTCAGGTGGTCAGCCCATTTGGCCAGGCGTGAACACACGACCAGAGTTCGGTGGTTTTATCCACTCGGCACTGTGAGCGAGCGTGTTTGCTATGAAAGAAAAGTGGCAAGGTACAGTAGCCGGGTAAAAGGGAACTTTTTACTAAAGAAAGGCAAATTTTATAGGAACAGGAGTAGAAGGATTTTGTAAAAATATCAGAAAAGCAATATTTTGAAGGAAAGCATTTAATTTATGCAAACACAAACTTATTGTAATAAGTTTTTCACTATATAATACAAAATTGGTTTTCTAATACTCTTTTTCAGTAAAACGAAATACAGGAATATCAGGTTCTTCTTCAGGAGGAACATCGTTTGTAATTGATGTTAATTTGTTGGGAATCTGGATGTTGTCGGAACGATCCAAATCTTCTTCAGGTTTAGCGACACAAATAATATTTGATCTTTGTTCAGGTGTAACAAGAACTTTCCGCATTTTAAGAATTGTATAATGATTGTAGACGCAAGTGAAAAAGTATATCTGAAAATAAGAAAATTCTTCTTAAATGTTTTGCGAATTAAGAAATGAAATACATCCGAGCTTCCATATGTCGCCACGATTTGCTTTTAAAATTGGCATTACATCGAGTGTTGAAAGAAACCGAAGTGCGTTATAAAAGAAGGACGTTATATCGAAGCTAGTGTATTCGTATTTTATCTATATTTAAATACTTACCCCTGTATAGCAGAATATGAAAGTTGACAGACTTAAAACCATTATAATCTGTAAAGTATTAATAAAAAAAATGTTTAAACGACTATTGTTAAAAGAAACAAAGATCTTAAATTTATCATTGAATTCTTCAAAGTTAAAAAGAAGTGCAGTTTAGTGTTTTAAAGATCAGGATAAGCATTTTATAGAAGTGCATTAATGCAGGAGTAGGTGCTCTTCGGGAAGACTTTTATTGTACATTGATCCATACATAGGTGTCAAACACGCGGAGTAAACCCGAAAAACTCCACGCGAATACACGACCAACTACCACTGTGTAGTAGTTTTATGCACTCGGCTACTGGTGGACTTATCAGGAGGTGTGAAGGTAATAAAATAAGAAAAGGGGTGCGATGTCCACGTTTTACCAGTTTAATAATAATGAAGAGCAAATCAGTTCATTTTTCCGTTTTCTTCATTACACAGTTTTAACTTATAAAATGCAGTAAACGTTAATTAAAAACAGTGCGAGAGAGATTGTATCATGGAATTTCATGAAGTGTCCAGGTTTTTAATTGCACATTTTTAATATCGTAACTATGAAAAAACACAAATCGGATCGATGAAAGTGTTATATAGAGGGAAGACAGATAGTCCATTATATATAACTTGATATTTAACATAAAACTACTTACAAAAACTGGTAATAAAGATGCGAGTGCCATTGCAATAGTTGTTGCAGCTGCAGTTTTAATCATTATAATCCAAATCCATATCATCCAAGGGATCATAAGTATGTGGTTGTCCTGAAAATATCTAAATTAAAGAATTAAACAACAACAACAACAAAAATTCTCTACCATCCATCAATTTTCTTTAAATTGCATGACATCTGAAAGATTCTGCAGCTCTGTTGTAATTTAAGCAAATCATTTGAACTAAATGTCAAGTACAAAAAATTTTTTGAATTTTGATAAATTCAAATTTTCATTAACTCATTTATATACATTAGAAAAGTCAACATATATACTAAAAAATCACATAATTATACATACAATTTCAAGTGCAACGTATAGCAGAATGCTGAACATTAACAATGCAGTCCATTCAGTAATGTTAATAATAAAATACCACGTGTAATCTGTAAATAAATGAATTAAATTTATTACTTTCTATTCTTTTCCACGGTTGCCACTAAATTTTGTGGTGGCTCTAGTGAAATGTAAACAATGTCTACTTATCGAGGATAACGCGTGTGAATATCTTTTAAACTTTACATTAAACAATTGTTCGATACTGCTCTTTGCTCTAGTATAAATATAAACAGAATTATTATTATAATGAATAGAAAATTCGCTACGCTTTTATTACATCTTATCATCAGATCAACCCTCAAGGTTATTGAAAACGTTTATTAACAATTACAATAGTTTACACAAGTTATTTATGCGATTATTTATTATATACGAGAATAATTGATAATCTGTAAACAAAAAATTAAAAAACTACATTAAAAAGTACTAACGTTTTTGGCCAAAATATATTTTCAGAACGGAAAGGTTATTATCCGTTGCCATATCCAAAATCATGGTAATGGACAGAAGCTGAAAATTGTTAAATTAAATGTAGAAAGTTATGCAAAGCGTCATAGAGTGGATTATTTAGAATTGTAAAATTACAAAAAAAGTCTTTAATGTTTACCCACTGCACTTATAAATGCCGAATAATACGAAGCTTCTTTATTAGCGCCAGTTTCTCTTTCCTATAAGCCTTCTTACTTCCGCCAAGCAACCGGCCTGCACAGTTGAAACACATTGTGTATTCGCTGGTTGACTGGCAGCACTATTTTTATCCAGGGGTGTGTTTCTCGCTACATCCCCCTTACTCTTCCCTCCCCCTACTCCCCCCCGCTTTCCTGAAGTATTTCTCCAGACTTTTCTTTTTCTCTGTATTTGATCTTAGCTGGTCGTCTGCAGCACGTCCTGCCGTATTCACGGCCAGTTTTTTGGTTTATTCCTTTTTTGGTTACAGTGCAGTGTGTTCCTCTTCGCTAGTGATTGTGTACCCCGTGGATTACCGTCGCTTCTAAGTGTGTGTGTGTGTGTGTGTGTGTGTGTGTGTGTGTGTGTGTGTGTGTATGTATGTATGCGGTGCATACCAAGTAAGTGTTATCCACGCCACCATTGTGTTTCGAACAACAAGTAGACAACGATGGATACACCCGGTTCATCTATGTCCTACGCGAATGCGACGTCGGCCCCCCTCGTGGTCCACCTATCGAACTGCCAAGAAGAGAACTTCACTGATGTGGATCATCCGTTGCCTTCTTGCTCCTCTCGCCCGTCTTCACCTCAAGTTGCATGTATAGACGATGGTATAGTGCAAATAGATGAAGACATCATGGGAAAAGAAACTGAACCAATGGATGATAAAATAAAACAATATACCACTAGTAGATCGATACGGCTCTCTACCACCGGTAAAGTCCAAGCGGAAGTAATCATCACGGAATGTGAAAAAATAATAGGACAATTAGGTGAAGTAGAACAGGTTTGTTTTAAACCGAACAATATCATAGAAATAGGACTAACAACTGTCGACACTAAAGAGAAGCTCATCGGGCACAGCGTAAAGGTAGGCAGTTCTTATGTTATTTGTGAGAGTCTAGATGAAGACCTCCTGATGGTCACAGTTAGGTACGTTCCTAACGAGGCCGATAAGGAGGTCGTCAAGGGGGTCCTCTCTGAGTTTGGGAAGGTCAGCAAGGTATTAGTTAACACTATTACAGTTAATAATAGAAAATTCAAAACTGGTACCTATAGAGTACTGATTAAAACCAGAAAACTACTCCCGAATTATGTTGAGATGCTGGGTAGCAAAGTAGAACTACACTATGTAGGTAAAAAGAAGCAGTGTTGGCGCTGCGAGAGCTTGACACATGAGATCAAAGAATGTAGCCAAAAACTATGTCATAGATGTAAAAGTCCTCACCACCTGGTGAGAGACTGTCCAAGCTGTTATAGCTGTCATAAAATACACGAAGTTGATGAAAAATGCCCTGAGCAAACCCTCAATGAAATATATAAAAAAGGAGGGAGGAACAAAAATAAAGAAAAAAAAAAGAGAAAAAAGTCTAGAAAGACTAACCAAACAGAAAGTAATAGAAAAAGAAAAAGAGAATACTATAGAGGATAAGGTAGAGCATAATAATCAAACCAATGAAAATAATGAAATTAATGAAAATAATAGCGAGAATAAGGGGCAAGCTGAAATATGTCAGGACACCAAAAAACAAGACGACGAAATAAACACAAATGCAAAGATAGACAAGAATGAAAGCGAAACCAAAGATAAGGAAAAAAGTATAGAAGAGAGAATAGAAGAACAAAAAAATGCTACAGCGGTTAGGGATAGAATATTGGCTATAAGTTTAGACGCAAGCCTTACTAAGGATCAGCTAATTGAGGAAGTGGAGAACGTAATAACGACAGCTGAAAAAAAGAAAGTAAGGAAAAGCAGAAGAAAAGTTGCACAAAATAATAATAACATTCAAGGCTAACACTATCAGTATAAAATCCCTAAACATATCAGGGATGAGAGAAGAAGCAAAGAAGATATACTTTTTAAATCTTACCATAAATGAAAACATAGATATCCTGCTATTGCAAGATACTAACCTTTACGACGTCTCTGACCTTAGAAAATTGCGTAAAATCTTCACACAGTTCAACATCTATGTATCCTTTGCTCCTAGAAGGGGTTCCGGCGTTGTTACTATGATCCGCAACTATATCAAAATCAATGATTTTAGGACGGATACGAATGGAAGGCTGGTAACCGTCGACATTGACCATGATAATAAGCTAATCAAAATAGTAAATATATACGCCCCCCCCACAGCTGGATGAACGTAAAACCCTGTTTAACAACTTACCGAACTATCTAATTGGCGGGAGGGATCTCATCATTGGTGGAGATTTTAACTGTATACTAAGCCAGAAGGACAAAAATACCAACATGTACCCTGACGGATCCCGCAGTATTCTCACTGATATTATAGAAAGCTATGAGTTAAAGGACGCTTTCCGCATTCTATACCCCCAGGCAGATGAATATACATGGGAAGGCAATGGCATAAAGGAACGGCTAGATAGATTCTATATCAATAAAAATATAGGAAAACTAATCAACTACAGCTCCAACTACTTAACAAATCATGGAAAAAAGATCTCAGATCATAAAATCATCAATATAACAATAAGTAAGAATAACTTCAAAAGAAGGGAAAACAAAATTAAAATCAACAATACCATCCTCTCTGACAAAACTTACCAGAAGGAAATTAAAAACATCCTTGATAATATGAAAACTGATGCTACTTGGGAAACCTGGAGAGCCACAAAAGAAAATATTAAAGAAATAACCAACCAAACATGGCTACGGATAAAAAAAACAACTTTAACAAAATGAAGCAATTACAGAGACAACTTAGCTACTACATAACAAATAATATGAATGAAAAAATAGATCAGACCAGTAATGAAATCAGCAAAGAAATTGAGAATAAAATAAGAGACACATATACAAGATATAAAATGAGCAAATTGGGGATAGAGAGGCACACAGAAAAGGTAATTTTTAAGAAAAAACCCATCACGAAAGACTCTGCAATAATAAATAACCTAATTATCAATGGAATACAAACAAACAATGAAGACAGTATCATCAAAGAATTTCAAAATTTCTACAAAAAGTTATATCAAAGAAAAAATACAAGATGGGATCAGTTAGGAGAAATCATAAAACCAATTAAACCTGTTAAAGACCATAAAGAAAATAAAATCAACGAAAAAATAACTAAAGAAAAAATAAATAAAGCTATAGATGAGCTCCACATAAGGAGTGCCCCTGGATTAGATGAAATACCTGCAGAGCTATATAACTTCTTTAAAGATGACATGTCTGATATTCTATATAAACTCTACAACGATAATACTGACAATAATGACTTCTGTAGTGGGAGGATGAAACTAATAAATAAAATAGGAAATAACATCGGACGTGCTACTGACTATAGACCAATCACACTACTTAATGTAGATTACAAAATTTACAGTTTAATCATAGCCACAAGACTAGAAAAACTACTCCACAACCATATTAGCCCTACACAAACTGCAGGTATCAAAGATAGAGCCATTCAAGACAATACTATGTTCTTAAATCTAATCCAGGAAACCTACAATAAAAGAAAATCCCCCCTCTCGATTCTCACTGTAGACGTCGAGAAGGCTTTCGACACCGTGAATCGAGAGGTACTGTGGAAAATACTTGAACACCTGGGATTTAATGAGGATGAAGTAAAGAAAATTAAATACATATACAACCAGCCTAAAACTAAGATCATAATTAACCAAAAGGAATCAGAATATATTGACTGCGAAGCTGGAGTAAGGCAAGGCTGTCCTTGCTCCATGATCCTTTTTATTATTTACATAGAAACCTTGTTAAACAGGGTAAATAAAGACAAATTAATCCCCCCCATCCACATCCCAAGAATGGAAAAGAAAATTAAATATGTAGCACATGCTGACGATGTGAACTTTTTCATAAATGACAATGTCTCCCTTCATAGAACAACAATGATAATTAACAACTTCTGTAACATCACTGGGATGAGAATAAATATAAACAAAAGCAACATCATCAAGATTTTTGGCCACAACAATCTAGAAAGCTCCACCTTCAGGACAGTTAGCAACAAAAAAATCCTTGGAATATGGTATGGCAAAAATAAAAACAACAAAAACATGGAAGCAATGCATAAAAAGATAAAAAATACTATAGACAAATGGGAAAGAATCTGGCTGTACCTGCCGGAAAGAACGATGGTTGCTAACAAAGTACTGATAGCTAAGATCATGTACATATTATACACCAATAACTTAAAAAAAAAGGATGCAAATAAAATAGAGAAACAAATATTTAAGTATATATGGCGAAAGAACTTTGAGCCACTAAAGAGGAACATAATGAAGAATGATAATGATCACGGAGGATGGAGAATCTGGGATGTGAGGCTACTAGAGAAGTCCCTACAGCTATCCAACATCATCAACGCCATCCTAAAAAAACAGCACCCCTTAGGGGATCTCGCTAACTACATCATTGGTCCGATAACGAAACGTTTTAACAAAGATCCATCTAATAGACCTTTCTTAATAGATAATAACATTACAGCAAGCAATTGGAGATACATGATTAAGGGCCTACTGGATGCCAAGATTAATCTAGAAGATATAAAACCTGGCACTATATACAGGAATAACTACATCAACGTCCCAAATCCAAATCTTAACACCACAGTTAACTGGAAGTAGTGCTGGAACAATGTGGGCAAGCTCCCAGCAGAGTGTAAGGAAACAACATGGAGGATAATAAATAATATAACCATGACTAAAGACTTCTTACATAGATACAATATGCTAAGGAACGCCAAATGTCCACGTTGTTCAAGGGATAAAACCACTTTCCATCTTTTCTACAAATGCTCAACACCAAATCAAATCTGGAGGTGGTTAAGGAAAATATTCAACATCGACATAGGCTGGCATCATGTACTATACCAAGCTGACTTCCCAAACACTACTTATAACAAATACTGCCTCAATTGGATGGTAGCCCTTGCAAAGAGGATAATATGGAAGGCAAGGTGCGCCCTCCACTTAGACAATAAGAAATGGAACGCTGAGGTCTGCATCAAAAAAATCAAAGATGAGGTTAATCTTAAACTCCAAATTGACAATGAACTATTAAGTAAAAAAGAATTTCTCATGCTATACTACGGCACTGAAGATGTGATATGGAAATATGTAAACAAAAATTACATCCTGATAGATATGTAAGCCAAACCGTGGCCCTCAATGTGTTAATCCACATGGACTACAGCTGACTCATCATGAAGAGACGCACCTACAACAATACTAGTAGGCATCTCCAACTGCTATCAAATATGCATGTCCAATTTCTAGTCATGTAGTATTGTCAAATGTAAATCTATGTACAACTGAAGAAAATATTTGTCGTGTGCTATATTATCCATTACTGTACTTGTATATAGAATTATTGCAGGGATATCATAGCAATGTTACCTGTGCACTGATTACTGTATATGACTACTAAACATCAGTTCACTGATGTTCTTTGTAAATGCTCTTAGTACTTAATAAACTTTAATTAAATCTTACTGAGCTTTCTGTTTGTCGAACAGTTTCCACACCCAGTTACGCAAGTAATTATTTCTTTTTCTGGTCTTACGTGTCTGTCAAAAAACACCACACAAGAAATGCAGGTGTACGCTTTGTAATTATTTTTTCTTGCAACGTTTCCACAAACTTGACATTGGTGTGTTGGAAGAGCTACAGAACCATCTGTAAAAAAAAATTACTTATTATCTCGTAAGCATGGGCCATTAGTTTCAGACATGTGACTTCAATTGATAAAGAAAACTACCGATATTAATCAATCCAGTCTGTTATATGGACGATCTGCAAAAAAGGCACTCCACATCGGCATATCGCCATACAAAGTCCACACAGTTGGACTTCTATGCAAAATTGCTCCTACTTACATGTTAAACGCACGAACACCGCGAGGACAAAGGAAGTTTTCTCCTCGTGTATGGTATTCAGCAGTTTCAACTAGTTAATGTTACATAACATCGATAACAATCGTTGGTAGCCATATACTAAATTTACTACAGTAATGAGACTATATTGAGCTACGCGTAGTCTATAATGAGAATCGAATAGCTGTATGGATAATTACTATTTATCCAAGTCTTATCTGCTATTTGTTATGAGAGAAGATTAAAGACCATCCAGCAAACTAAT